TTTTATATCTTTTTAAAACTGAAGAATTGATTTTAAATACTTAATGTAATAAAGTAGCAATATAAAGTTCATAGAAGTATAATGTTGATAACAAAATGTGCAAAAGGTAGAATAGAGTCTACAAAAATGTTATTATAATGCACGCCTTGGAGCTCGTCTCGATGAATCAGAAGGAGGGGGTAAGGCGAGGAGGAGGGGGCATGGTTCATCCTTTTAAATCTTTAAGCTATATGGCGACAAAAATTGCATGAATCTTCTCTATGAATACAAAGGATTTACGGTGGATGTGACTGGTTAGAAAGGGATGTCAACTCCTAGGCACCTCCTTCCACTTCTGGAATTCCAAGGCCTTCTGACAATTTCTATTTTTAGCTCTTCTGAGCCAAAGGCTCAAAGATCTAATGCTATGGCCATTTGTGCGGTGTTCTGTGTGCGTTAACTTTTTAGAAAATGGGCCATAACTCAAGAACCCCTTGGCCAGTCATTGTCAAATTTGTCACAGGGTATCCTTGGCCCAAGGGCAACCATTTATACTAAAACTAGGGGATGGGACCTTAAAACAAGGGGAGATAATCAGGAAAATAAAATCAAATGTACTGGTTGCTAAAAAATCTTCTCCAGAACCACCGGGCAGATTTTCACCAAACTTACATACAAGGGTCGGAATATGTTGAAGATTAAAAAAAATTGTTCAAAGCATGACCCTGGGGCAAAGGGCGTGGTCTCAAGGTTACTTCAAAGTTGACCAAAATTTACACTTATTAAAAACGTTGATATTTTGCTTACTGTAAAGACTAAGATCATCAAATCTTGGAAGTTGATGCATCTCAGGACTTCACATTATGTTAACACAAAAGTAGGTCACGGTGACCTATTTTTTTTAAATTTTACGGGCTTTTGTATTCAAATTGATTTTGAGGCATATTTTGGACACTTTAAGGCCCATGATCATAAAAACTTAGTCAGTTGGTGCATCTTGGGTCCTTAAACAACAAAAACTTAAAAGTAGGTCATCTTGACCTACTTTTTGAACTTTATTGCAAATCGTTTATAAAACATATAATCCCAATATTTCAGACACCGAGACGTTTAGAATCACCAAATCGTGTAGTTGATGCGTCATGGGGCCTTAAAGGTACTTGAACACAGATTTGAAGTTAATATTTTCTCTATAATATTACGACTTATATATTTTAATAGCATTTCATAAAAAAAATTAATTAAAAATCTGATTTCATTTAAAAGTTATCAAAATTGTAAATTTTTTGGCGGGTTTGATTGACACATCCTTGCATTTTCATAAATTTTAACTTTATTCTTAATTCTTAGGAAAAGTGGCAGTCTTGTTGTGTATTAATGAAAAATATTAATACTATAATCCAGAAAATTCAGAGTGGACGTGTTCGAAAGTAAAACAAACACACAATATATTGTCAGTCCGTGCAGTTGTGGTGAGCAAACTTTGGCGATTAAACGCACCCGGTGAACCAAAACACCAAACAATAACAGAGCTTTCGCCCTGTTTACAAAAACTGTGTACATAACACGAGTGTGCTCGATTTGCTAAACTGTGTACACAACAGAATGACGATACATGTGAAGGAGTTTTGCTTTCTAACATTTCTACTCTGAATAAAATTATTTTTCTGGATTTAAATTTTAATGTTTCTCATTAATACACAACAAGATTGCCACTTTTCCTAAGGATTAAGAATAAAGTTAAAATTTGTGGTAGTGAAAGGATTATCAATCAAACCCGCCAAAAAATTAAAAGTTTTAATAACTTTTAAATGAAATAAGATTTTTAATTAATTTTTGTGTGAAATGCTATTAAAATATATAATTCGTGTTATTATACAGAAAAAATTAACTTCAAATCTGTGTCCAAGTACCTTTAAAACATCTTTATAAAAAAGTAGGCAACTGTGACCTACGTTTTGAACTTTGCAGGCATTTGTTTTCAAATTGTTTAAAAGGCATTTGTTGAATACTATTGGACCTATGATCATCAAATTTTGTCAGTTGATGCATCTTTGGTCTTCAGAAAATTTCGACCAAAAAGTAGGTCACGGTGACTTACTTTCAACATTTTATGGCATGTCGAACAAAAACCTACTTTTGAGTATCTCAGGTATTTATTGGCTTAGAATCATCAAACTTTGTCAGTAGATGCATCTTGGGTTTTCGGAGAATGTCGACCAAAAAGTAGGTCATGATGATCTATTTTTGACATTTTATGGCTATATTTAGGTATCTCGGGTACTTATTGGTTTAGAATCATAAATCTTTGTTATCCCCTCGCGCAACTAGTTGCGGAGGGGATATAGCATCGCGAATGTGCGTATGTATGTGTGTTAGTGTGTTAGTGTGTTTGTTACACCTTGTGGGCAAGATTTAAAGAAAACCTTTGCATTAACCATTCTCAGCGTTTACATACTTGTGTGGCAGTAGAAAAGGACGAAGCCTATTCATTTTCAAGTTCATTGATGAAACATTTCTTCAGATATCGCGTTTTTACTGCCTCGAAACCCTGATATTTTATGTACGAGTTGACAATAATCATTTGTGGGCAAGATTGACAGAAAACTTTGCATTAACCATTCTCAGCGTTTAAATACTTGTGTGACAGTATAAAAAGATGGAGCCTATTTATTTTCAAGTTCATTGTTGAAATATTTCTTCAGATATCGCGTTTTCACTGTCTCGAAACCCTGACATTTTATGTAGGAGTTGATAATAATCATTTCCGCTATGGGACCAGTTTAAGAGCCAGTTTTAAACTTTAAAAGCCGTTCGAGTCTGTGGGAACTGGATTAAAAGAATTTGGTGAACGTAGCGGTTTCATTACCAACAAATTTCAACAGGTGTTTGGAACTTTGGGGAGCACATTATTCCTGAAAGCTGTAAACACAATCCTCAAGTTCAAATTAACCTCTCGATGTACATATGTACATTTTTATTTTTCATTACGAAAAAAATGCATATTGCCTGGTATTGTGAGATATACTTGGGTAGGTAAATAATTAAAATTGCTGAAACTTATACATAGAGCATACGTGATATGTTCCTGCTAGGTATAAGGGAAACTGCCCAGTTACGTATGCATATTATGCCCCCCTCCCCCCAAAAATGCAATTATGCAATTTTATTTTGGTTAAAAATAGACATACCCCACCCCCGATAATTCTGTTTAAAAAATAAATAGTGTTGAAAAACAATGTAATATATTAAACTTTACTATCCCAAGTTAGGTATCCATATTATGCCCCCGCCCCCCTTAACCAAGACGCTATTCACTTTGCATTTTGTGAAAAATTCATCAACAACAACACCGCATTAATAATTTTGTCAAAAGTAAGGGAGTAGATCCTAATGTGTTGCAGGTTTGATTCCCTTTGTGGGACGCAGAGATTGGTCCTTCGAATGAGACCCTGTAAACCAAGGGCCCATGTCCAATAAATGCTGGCACAAAAAGATCCCTCGCTTTTAAATGGTTGTTCTTGTTAGTTCCTTTTATAGGTAAAAATGTGTTCAAAGCTCTCCACCTGCAAGCCTACATATGAGCAAAATATTCCTGAGAGCGACATGAAACAAAATACCCGGTACATTGTACTATCAATCTTTAGTTAACATGTTTAATGTCCCTCGAGAGAATTTATCTCTTATGAGATATTGCCATTACCAGTGAAGTTCCTGACGCGAGGGGATGCTCCGCTTAGCGGTGCCCTTGTTGATTAAAGTATCTTGGGTTTTTGGAGAATGATGATTTAATAAGTAGGTCCCTGCGACCCACTTTTGAATACCTCAAGTACTTATTGGCTTAGAATCATCAATCTTTGTCAATTAATGCATCTTTCAACCTTAGAAAATTTCAATCAAGAAGTAGGTCACCTTGGGTCACCATGACCTACTTATGGTATTTTATAGTTACATATCTTCAGTCCTAACTGGCTAAAAATCATCAAACTTTGTCAGTTGATGCATCTTGGGTCTTAGGATAGATTGTATAATTTATCAGAAGAGCGATTCAAGGCCCTTGGGCCTCTTGTTTAACCCCTTCACTTCCGTACCGGTCAAATTGACCGGTGGCGCGTTAAGACACGACTTCGCGAAAATAAGATTTCCGTATCTATTTTGTGGTAGCATGAAGGTATATAAGCTATATATCATCTTTTTGGAAATTTTCTCTACTTTTAAAATATCTTAAAAGATTATATCTTGATTGCCGGTGTTTAATCGCTTTTACGTTGTAAAGACAAACGTGACTTTTTGAAAATGGCGTAATTTTTAAAAGCGATTGCCGATTTTCCAGACGATTGACATTTTTTTCCTGATTAACTTTATAAAGAAAGCATGATATATTCTTAAAGCATATTTTCTGTACTTTTAAAATATGTAAAAATTATTGTTATTACTTTAAGGTATATTTTAAAAACAAGAATTTTCTTGCACTTATGTGTTTTTTCTTTATTTTATTCGCAGTGTTTAAACAAAGCTCAGTTTTACGTTTATTTCTGTGTTGAAATAGGGAAAACAAAATAAAGCTGGTAAAAGTAGAGAAAATTTCCTTTCCAACAAGCCCTTACAGGCCTTCTTACGCTCAGTATTTTCTTAATTACGATAATTTGAATTTGTGACCTTCGCATAGTTTTTATGGAAAAATCGGTCAATATTTACATGTAACGTCAAGGTCGATATTGTTGCGTCTTACTCGAAACAACAAATTCTTTTATAAGACTTTTTTGACCATGTAAATATATTTTTTACTGAAATAAATGCATAATACAAAAAAAAATAGATTTCAAAAAACAAAATTTATACTATCGTTCTGCCTTTTGTGAAGTGAATGTTAATTTATTCATCTACATGTAAATGATGTATATTTCATGTAGTGATAGGCCCTTAAATACAATGTTGATAAAAATTGTAGATTCCCAAAACGTCGATTTTTACTAAAAAAAAAAAATCAATCAGATTTTTAATACTGTTGTATCTTGTTATCTTGTTTTACTTATTAATTTGCAATTTAATTATATCTATATTGGCACAAAATTTAACAATACAAAAACTTGCATTTATTAATAAATACGACTCATCATTGTATGAGTTGATACGAATTGAAATAACCACGTGTTTCCGCTGAGGTACCTGTAAACAACATGATCCGAAATCTGAACGTCAATTTTCATGATTATTTCACGACGAAGACCATCACATCAATGAATCGAATAATACGGACATGCCTTTGGTATTAGCAGGTGAGAATACGTGTATATTGACTGAAAAGTTGAAGTTAAAAATGCATTAGTTTACGTTCAAAAGAAAACTAAATGTACACATGTACTAGGCCTAGATCTTTATGTTTCAGTGTGCGTATTTCGTATCGTTCAGCCAATTTTGTATTGCATTTGAACTTTGATGCTTTTGACAAACACTCGACAGTCGTAAGTTCAAAGTAAAATCAAAGTTGTCATAATAATGGATAGTTGTTTTCAGCAGGTCCAGCACAATACCCCGATAAAGGTATATAGCTTGATAAAGCTATATAGCTTTATCAAGGTATTTAAAATACCTTGATCAAGGTATTTTATGTACTGAAAATTCAAAAAAATTCTTTAAAAATTAATTACTGAAAGTCGAGTTCTGAGTTTTTGTCAGTAAATTCACCCATGCATGTAAAGTACTCAAACACAAACAAATCAGTAGAAAAACGTGTCGTGTGAGGAGACGTTATTTTATGCCTTCTTTTTGATACCAGAGTGTTTTTATGCACGAATAGACACACTGTCAAAAACTCAGAACTCGACTTTCAGTAATTAATTTTTAAAGATTTTTTTTGAATTTTCATTACATAAAATACCTTGATCAAGGTATTTTAAATACCTTGATAAAGCTATATAGCTTTATCAAGCTATATACCTTTATCGGGGTATTGTGCTGGACCTGTTCAGTATGTGTGTACCAGTGTGTATATACCAGTGTGTACATGTACCACTTTCACTTTGAATTTTTAGGGTGCTTTCACCATATGCAACAATACTTTCATCTGTGAACATGGTGAATACCCACTTTCTAAGCCCACCATGAACTACGAAGGTCAATTAATATGTAAGGACACCAATGAACAGGTAAATTTTTGTTTTGGTATTGAAAATTTCTGTATTTCTGAAATTTCAACAAATAAAGTCTAATTTCATTTATGTCATTCTCATGATATTGCATTCAAACAAGTTAATAAACATTTGATTTATATTTTGAAAAATAAGTGTTTGCAACACACATAATACTTATGATGCTTGATTATTCATACAGACACATTATTTAAACATGTAATATCTATTTGAATGAATACCAAGATATGGAACAAGCTGTTTTTATAGACTACTGTTGTATTTCCAATCTGCATAAAGTATGTGGTTAGAATTTCCATTTTCTCAATTTTTCAGACACTTTCCAGTTATCGTACATCATATACATGGGTGGTCAAACTCACTGGATGGTTTATCAACACTCCCATGCTCACGAACAGCCTTGCCCCAGGAATTTTGCCCTGAAGTAACATTGCAGTCTGTTGTCTCCTTTCTTTTTACAAACCTGGCAGCCATGCAGGTATGAAATCTATGAAAGCCATGAAGGGACATAAAATTTTTAAAAATTTATAAAAGTAAACCGAGTTCTTGATTTATACAATCCGTTCTCTCAGATTGACAATCTGTTATAACAAATTGCCAATTCATTCTCACAGATTATCAATTCGTTCCCTCAAATTACACAATCCGTTATCTCAGATTGTATAATTCATTCTCTTAGTTAAAATGATTCATTCCCTCAGAATGTAAACCCTTCCCATGATTTCATTTAAATTATTTATCTGTACATATCGGATATGGTAATACATGTTTAAAAAATAGAATATTGTAGTATTTTACATCCTAACTTTATTACACGGTCCAAAATGAGAAAAATACATGAACATTTTCAAATCCATGTGCTAGTACTGATAGTTGTACAAAAAAATCTTAGAGGTTTTTGTGTTACATGTATATTAGAATAATTGAAAGTCCTAGATAGTAAAAGTGAATATAGGTCCTGTGTAATCATAATATTTCTAAAATAAATATTCTTTGAATTACTTATGAAAGAGGTTGGAAACGACCGGTTGCTGAAACAAAATAAATAGAACGCACTTATTGATTAAAATGGTTGGATGTATCTGTACATATATGTAATGAAATTCAAGAACACAGATTGCCAAAATCATAAGACTGATGTTGTAACTAATCGAGATCTCGAATTATCCATCTGTGAAAACAAATTACCGGTATGTAATTCGAGATCTCAAATTATGAATCAAGGGGGCGAATTAGTAATCCTAAAGATCGGATTGTGTAATTTGAAATCTCATATTATAAATTGAGGGAACGATCTAGTCATCCGTGGGATTGGATTGTCTAATTAGATTCGATATCATTTTTTTACTTTTTTGAAAAATTTACGTGTCCCTTCATGGCTTTCGTAGCTATCTAATACCAGATTTTTTTATATGTTGCGACAGAGCGTAAACAGAGGCCTGGCTTTAGTCAGATTGCCATATATGCTATTTGTTTTAGTTCAGTAATTTTACCATGATGGTTTACTACAAGTTTGTTGAATTATCAGTCCTGATACATTGACTTAATATCATTTAGCTAATTGGATCACATAATAAATACAATTTTGATTTTAAAGGGAAAATCAAATAAATGTAGTAATTTTAGCATTCTTTATTTTATTTATAAATGTAAATTTATATACACAATGACATGTATCTGCTTCAAAATACTTTAATCTTTTACAGGATAGAAGCTGATCACTTGTACTTGACTGCAAATAATAATATCTTGGACAAGTCAAAGAATTTCCTCCAATCTTACAGAGAAATGGCAGTTGATAAAAGATTGGTGGACACAAAGTAAAAGTGCTCTTCAACATTTTGTTGAAGATTTCAGTCTGATTTGGAATTCATCTTGCAGTATTTCTGGATTTGTATATTTGGATATAAGCATCAGTTTTTCAACTTATTGACTAAACTGTTTTGGGTTAAATATTGCCAATGCTATCTATTATTATTATTATTTCCCTCCAAGATAACATGTCAAGTCTTAATTGTACCCCTTAAGCTCTGTTATACCAGAAAAATCTTGTAATGAAATCATTTAGTTTTTTTTTCTTGTTAGATTACATCCATGAAAATAAAGATTATTTTTAATGGCATCAAGGGAATGGATTTCTTGTTTCACAAAAAGATTGTAAACATGTTTTGCTAGGGGTTTGTAAGAAGCAGACCAGAATTCTTTGCTTGCAAATTTTGACGTTCGCCATTTTTATTACGTCAACTATTAGATGATTTATCCATGTTTGAAGCATTTCAAAATTGATATTTACTTACAGTTAAAAGCAGAATTCTGTACTGAAATGACCTTGACCCCCTGAAGAACAAGAGTGTCAAGGTCAATTTTTAATACAAAAGTGTTCTTTCTTCTTTATGGCCCATATATATCTTACAAACAATATCATGAAATATACAAAAAGTGTCTAAAATGTGTCCAGAATGTGAAATAACAAACATGTATATAGCCAAAAACTTTAAAATGATGTTGCTTAGCAACCACTTAAAGGTCATTAAACAGATATTTGAACTAAAATGATGCATGGATATTGCAGTTCTGATCCCTTCTTGAGAATATATTCAGAATTTTCAATTTCAGCATCCATTGTATAAAATTATGGCAAGAATATTGAAAAGTGTTGAAAAAAATTGATGAAACTTTTGCTCTCATTTGACCTTTGACCTCCTAAAAATAGTTCTAATAAGGTCAAACTTTAAGACAATTTATCTGTTGTATGTCCCTTGTAATTTTATGACCTCACATCTAACTTTTATATGTGCTGGGATGCATAAATGTGTCTAGGATGAGTAAAAAATGAAAATTTCTGCCCGAAAATTAAAGAATTCTGCGTTGCTTAGCAACCCCTTTTAAGTAGTTATATGCAGAATTGAGAAAAAAGTTTATGTGTTTCATGTAGCACAGTATAATGCTCTTTTGTAGGTATTTACCAAATTTCCTATTTCAACATACATCATACTTAATATTTAGCTTAAAGATCAAAAAGTATCAAAAAATTCCATAAAATTTTGCACTTAATTGACCTTTGACCTCAATTTTTACTAATAAGGTCAGTGGTTGAGTATCTAAATAGTCATAAAATATCATCTCTAAGAAATTTCCTACAAAATGGTATGCATTGTGCCTAGCTCTCTCCTTGGATAAAAAAGTTAGAAATAATTTAATAATGCCATGTCAAAAGGCCTCCAAAATCAGGTAAAATGCGCCGGAAGGGAAAGGGTTAAAGATCTTTTTTGATCGATCACTATTTGTTTCATAAACCTTTTCATTAACGATTCATTTGATGTTGCACTACAATGTACCAAAATTGTTTCAGGGGCTGGCTCTGATTTACTTTATTCGGATATATGAGAGATTATTAATCTCTTTTTAAAAGAAGCTTGATATCTTTATTCAGCTACGTAAACCCATTTGATGACCATCATTGCATAGACGGTGTATCTATTTCATGCGCACTAACAGAATTGCTTAGAATATATGATATTTTCAGAAATTGAACGGTTTCTAATATCGAAACAGTTTCATTCCCAATTTATGTTTGAGCAAACGTTGACTCTACATGCATCTAGGCATGTATGTTATCAGACTTCTTATCTGCATTTCTCTGATAAGTGAACAGTTAAAGTATATGCCCATTAAGAATGATGATAGGAATATGCTTTACTGGATTGCTTTGGATGATGATGAAAAAATATATTATGGATCGTACCAACATGTTTTGTTAGTATGAATTATACAAATATTTAATTGTCTTTGTAACGTTAATTTTTATCATATTTTGCTTAAGGACGTTCGATCCTGAAATTTTGAGAGTATTTTGGTCAGGTCCTTTATTTATAAAATTCTGCATCATTTTTAAGTTCTAACATAAATCTGTATTCTGCAGTGCAAATTTAACTATATTCAATGAAAGAAACGCAATTAAATTCCATTCAAGTAGAATTAAGCTAGGGACTATATTTTGTGGCGGAAGGTTTTTTAGACGAAAATGATCACTTTTTCCATTTTGAACTATAACAGTACTGTTAATTTTGGATTCCTATTTTTCCATCCTGGTTGCACACAAAACTGTTTTTTGCAGTGAAATGTGTTATGCTGGTTCTGAAATATCTATTAAATTATTTCTTATAAATTCTATCAACAAAGTGTGACAAATATAGTAAATATATTCTGAAAATCCGGGAAAAAAGTGAGCCAATTTTAACGTAAAATTGACACTTTTTTAGTAATATCTGAAAATTTGCATCATATACCCCCACTTTTGATGTTCTTTTCTAATTATTCAAGATAAATTTGACCTGTTTGCTTAAAATCAGAAAAAGTTTAAGACTTTAAAATAATTTTCTTGCTTATCAAATTTTTAATTCCAGAAAAATCACTTTTTATTAGTGCAGAATGGTCAAATAATTGATTATGCGAAGCAATTTGAAAGTTTTTCTTAGTCGCAATTTTTAAGTGTCTTTTTTAAAACAAACTTATAGTTCATTTTGTGTCATGCTTTAATTGGATAAAAATATTGGAGGGAAAACGTAAAAAAATTAATTTTTAATTAAGGCACAAATTTCAGTGCAAAAAGGTCATAGTAAATGTATTGTAGCGTCAAAAGAAGCATATTGACCCCCATTTTTTGATTTGAATTTTAATTAAGCTATGTATATAGAAACTAAAAATATACTTGGCAAAAAACGTTTAAGACTTTAAATATCAGGATCGAACGTCGTTAAAAGGGGTACTTGGATTTATTTTCAAGATATAAGAGCAATCCATCTTATACCAAAATACAATTTCTTTGCATTGAGTTCTTTTTAACCATATACATTTTTAAATATTTCATGTTCCTAATAGCCTAATTAGATTTGAATAAAGAAACATACCATGGATCCAAAAGTTCTTAAAATCCTAACAAAGAACATAATGTTCAATATATTTTCTTCGTCGATATCATTGAAGGCAATACTTAAGGATTATTGTTAAACAATATACTTGAGAAGTGGTGTATTTCAAGTAAAAAATTATTTACTTTTGTTTGCTTACCTAGAGAAATATATTGGAAGCAAGTTAGACTAAATTAGACAAGTAGACGTAGTGATAAAAGTGTGCAAATAAGATTTTCTATCGTCATTTGTTCTAATTTATGTTGCAATAAACTTTTTTAAACGCACTGGTATGTTCTGCCATGGACTACCGGGTACAAACGATTTTTTACAAGAAAACAGACCATTGATGGGAAAAAATGAAGGTACAATGATATCAATATCTGTGATAAAGTTAGCGTATGGAGACTTTGGTAGAGCTGCCAATCTTATTTGCAAATACATACCTGTGAAAAGTGGATTGTTTTCTGAACTCTTCATACTATTATGTCATTATTTTTGTCTATGAATTGCCTACCTTTGTTTCGTTTGCCCGATCATGACAAGAAACACACGTCAGATGTGACCAGTCGATAGGAGATACCTACTCGTCTAATTCACCTGATTCCGCCTCTTTTTTACATGTACAGGCTCATGTTGGCTATGCTAAGAGTTTGTTTTGCTTCAATGGACTGAATTAAATTAATCACTGTTTATAATATACACTTTTCATGACAGGAAGAATTTAGAAATTGATGAAAACCATTTACTTTGTGAAATCGAGGATGGAAAGTTCGACAAATTCATTTTGAGAAGTATAGAACAAGATGTATACGTACGACCAAGAAGTACATCAAGTGAACTTCAAAGGTATTGTCTTTAAGAGCGCTTATCTGATAAGTAACATGACTGTAGACGCGAAGATGCTCTCTCAAAGACACATATTCAAATGAAGAGACATACAACCATAAAAATACATATTTTCTCAAGTTCAGTAGATATACAATGAAAAAAATGCGAATGCTTTGTAGTAAAATATTTCTAGATTGTCTCTATTTTAAGATTGATATATTCTTGTGCTTTAGGGATCTTTTTGAGTGTATGAACAAATGTTTTGTTGAAAAACAAAAGATATTGGAATTATCGGATAAACTCGTCAATCAATATGGGTAAGATTTTTTAATATCATAAAAAACAAGAAAACCATTTGATATACTTTTACTAATTAAACATTTATCCCAATGTTTTTCCTATAAGTATTAGGTATTTTTTCTTATGCAGAAATATATGGCCATTTTACATATACATGTATATTCTAGCGATTTAAAATCAAGAACGCATGATCAGTTTTCTAAATTCTTTAAAAGTTTAATGTAAGTTAATTATTTTTATTTCTACTATATTTTAAAAAAGGATTTCTTACTTTTGATTACAATGATTTAGTGTACAAACCACATGCACTAATGATAATCTAAAACTTTAATTCAGAAATTACCTTTATTCACTTCATGTATATGCTGATAGGGTTATGGATAAAACTGTGCATGGCAATTACATAATGATAATGTATAAAATGGTTCTTACACAAAAAATGCTTTAAGTGAGAACAAAGCAGATTCATGAATATTTCAGAAAACCATCATCAGTTTCACTAAAAAAATGGATTACTTTGGACCAAGAAGTAAGAAAAAAAATTAAGGCAGATCCAGTGAATGCTTTATCGTAAGTCTGTCATTGCTGCATGTTATTATGGAATAATTATATGTTTATCAAATGTTATTCAATAGAATTTCCAATCTGCAGTTGTGTCATTTTAGATTTGTCATCGAGAGTCATTACAGATCATCGCTTGAAAATCAGAGGTAACAAGGGCAATATAATCACTTAATTCAGCAAGTATAACCAAGTCTGTGTATGCATTAATCATACAGAATCCATATATCGAAAATATAAATTTTTTATACTGGAATAACTTTTTTTACACTGGAACGTTTAAAAACCAAAGTAGTTTTAACGCTGAGAGAAGGATACATATTTTCACTTGTTTGAGTCTGTACTTGTCAAAAATATCGCTAAAGAATGAAGTTCTGTCCTTGAGGGAAATAAAACTAGATTGGATTTTAAAGGCTCTCTAGCCGTATTAAGATTTAGAAAGAACGGGGGCGTATAAGGCGGGGTCGATATCCCGCTCTGGGACAAAATATTTCTCAATTTTCAAATTCATAAAAATAATAATTTTTTAAAGAAAATGTAATGTCATTAATGTCATCATTAACATACTTTAACATTTTTCTTTTAATTAAATCATATATTGATTATTTATTTGTTTTAAAGTTGATGGTCAGATAGATTCGGAGGACAATAAGTAAATTATAGCCATATAAACTGATTTTTTAATATGAATGGGTCAAGTCTCCATTTTTTAAAAGGGCTAAAAAGACGGGAAAGGGAATTTAGAATACTTTTTTTTTGTTTCAAAAAAATGGAATCTGAACCCATTCTATAAGAAAAACTAACTTTTCTGAAAAAAAAGTTGAAAGCTCTTCAAAGCTATTTACTTAAGACAATTTAAAATAGGTCAGGTACATGAAGACTGAATAGGTCAGTGGTGAACGCGTTTACTTTTTCACAAAAAGCAAAATATGGAGCGAGTTCGAATCCAGTAAAACTTTTTCAAATATTTTTAAAAGTATATATACTAGCTAGCTAACATTAAAATACGTTTGTTTTTTTAAACAATATACTGTAAGGAATTTATTATAATAATACGTTTTAATCGTGAACTGTCAAAAACACAGTTAAGTAAAATCAAAACAAACATGCCAGGTCCGACGTCCTATAACTATGTTTTGTGTAAGAAACAATTAAAGTGCAAAACGAAACGTAAGTTAAGCACACGACTTTACACTTTGATACAGCAGCGAGGAATAGCAGTGAGCCACAATTCTAGAATATGTGATAAGTGCAGAATAAATGTGAGTACATGTACCACATCAGGTGATAAAGATGTACAGGGTGTTCCAAAACAAAATTCCGTTATTTCACTTCCAGTCATTTCGTTAGGAAAATGTCATAGGACGTGTGCTATTTGTCGGTCTAGTAAGGTACTTAGAAATTTACCAAGCACTGCTCGATCAGAACTTTTCATAAAGTTTGGTGTTGTTTCTCCAGCCGGTAATCGATGTTGTGCTGTACATTTGAATGGCAATCACATTTGAGAGACTCTAAATATTGACACTGACACACTGAAAACGTCCAATTCTTCCTTTACATCTAATGAAATAGTTGAGTTGCTATCAATTCTAAGAAAACGTGCTCTGGAATCCAAAAAGGAATATTTAACTTTTGACGACTTAAAAATGTCTGATGACGATTTTCAAACACTTACTGGCATAAGCGGGAAAGACTTTGATGACTTAGTAAAATCTGTTCCATCAATCCGAAGCACAAAGGTTAGATCATCAAGAAATGCCTTGGAATTTTGCTTTTAAAATTAAAATTTGGCCTCTCAAATAGCGTTATTGCAACTTTGTGCGGACTAAAAAGCAAACGCATAGTTAGCCACATTGTAAAGAGTGCCCGTCTTGCACTTATGCGAGACTTTGTCGCGGAAAACTTGGGATTTAACCATATCCCAAGAAATGAAATCGTGAATAACCACACAACTGACATTGCCAGCAACTGTTTACTGACCCAATATCAGATACAGTAATACTCGTCCTTGATGGCACCTACATATTCATACAAAAGAGTTCCAAGTATCAGTTCCAAAGATTAACATACTCTGTCCACAAAAATCGACCATTAGTTAAACCATTTATAATTACCAGCAGAAATGGTTATATTATTGATGTAATGGGACCGTACTTTGCGAATGGAAAGAATAACGACTCTTCAATTATTACGCACTTTGTAAAGTCCAATTCCGGGAATTTTATGGATTTTATGGAGGAACATGACGTGCTTATAGTCGATAGGGGTTTTCGGGATGCTTTGGAGTTTCTTCAGAGCTGTGGTTTCAGAACAGAGATGCCCCCATACCTTGATAAAGCTCTCAAACAGCACAGTACAAAAGAAGCAAACTTGTCGAGATGTGTGACTAAGGTACGATGGGTGGTTGAGGCAGCCAACGGGCGCTTAAAGAAATGGAAATTCCTTGACCATGTAGTCCCTAATTCCTAAATTCCGTCGATTGGCGACTTTGTGCGCATCGTAGCTGCCATACTTAACAAATATAAACCTCCCTTTAAAAGCAATAACTACAGGGATGATGAACTGGACCGCAGGATGCGTATTGCTTCCACCACAACGGAAAATCCTCTGCAAAAACGGTGTGCTGCAATGACATTCCATAGCAGGTCCAAACAATGGAAACCCATGGATGCACAGAATCTATTGCTTGATTTTCCGGTTCTTACCCTAAAAGATCTCAGACAAATTACGTTTGGTGTATATCAAATTAAACAAGCATCGAGATACTCTGATGAACAACTGGCTGATGTCATTTATAAGATTCATCTTTCAAATACAGATAAAGACCTACTACACGCCCGCATTCAGTCCCGGCATTCGACTAGTAAGCAATACAACTTGTGTATACAGCACAGGGATGGTACTGTCAGTGTAAAGCGGGAGCCAAGACAGTGGGATGCTGTACACATGTGTGTTCCGTTCTTTAGTATCTTGGTTATGCCAGACACACGGGGTACTCCACAACTCCTGATAAAATCTCTACATCTCTAAGTAATGCAGGAGAGTTACTTACAAATGAATGAAACTATTATGTTTTTTTTTAAATTGGTCACACATGTATGTCTATCGACATACATGTAGATAAGTTATGCATTTAACATTTAACTGTTTGCTAACCGTTATCCCATTCAGACATTTTGCAGTATAATTAGTATGAATTTCATATTGTTCCATGCTAAAATCTACTTCAATGATTGTACCTCATCTAAGATATATAAATATTGATAGTTGTTGAAATATGTTATACTTTTTCATAATTTGACTGTGGCGGTATAAACCAAGGTTTCGTGTCGCTGTAGATTCTAAAATGAGAAAGAACCCTAACTGCTATTTGCGGCCCTCCCCTGGCAAGTGGTGGCGTCTCGATATGAGTGAAAACAGTTCTTTAAGGGACATGAAGAAAGAAGCAGGTTTACTCATGTTCAGTGTATGGTTATTTCAATGATTCAAGGACTTAAAGTTGTTAAAAACAGGGATAAGAGAGACTTCATTGGGACGCGTACTGTTATATGATAGTAAAGAAATATCCCCCCCCCCTGCACTGTTTTGCGTGCCTTTAAGTTCCATCCCTTCCATCAGGGGTTGATAGTTTTGTTTGTATCATACGTGTTCATACTCCATACAGTCAATTCTCCAAGACTACTTTCCACACGAGTGTTTATAAGGAGTTGTAGCGTAACGTAATACTGATCTGTCTGATACATAATTATATAAACATGTCTTTTTCGTTGTCTGAAGAAGCTTTATTTTCTCCTAACTTGTTAAGCTCCTCCACCCCCAAACTGGTAATAATTGTTTACAGGAATTGTCAGATGTAGATAAACTTTTCAAATTACCTTATAAGGTACATATCTTCTCTCATTGACCTGAAAAATAAACTAAACAATATCATATACATGTATCTTGCAAATTATTATCGTTTGGCCGTTGATTTTAAACTTGTTAGGATATTACTTTTGTGAGAAGCTGTGAAACACACACTTGGGATTATCTTTCTTTATTTTCAAAGTTGTCGTCCCTATTTAAATACCCAGCAATTACGCGGGGGATTGACACCGTCCTCTGTGCCGTCATTCTTTGTCTATTTATCCGAACGACTTTGCTTATTATCTTTTTTTCAAATGCGGATTGTTTTTAATTTCAACATTTAATTAAAACCTACAAATTAATGTTCAAGCAGTACCTTCTTATTAATTAGGAAATTAGGGTATTAGAAGAAATCTCTGAGTTTCAACTAATTATTAATCGCATATTAGCTAGTTCTTGTTTTTGTTTCCAGATGATTTTAGTGAATTAATTTATTCAGTTTCATCGTCCATATCCGTATCCTAATTGTCTTGGAATTGATCAAAACATTTACGAATTTCGAAGAACTGTGAACATCTAAGAATTTAAAAGATAAGCGACAAGGATTATAAAGTGTATATATTTAGTAAATAAAGGAAAGGTTCCCTCAAATAATTTTGCACTAATTCCTAGCTATCTTTAGTGATGCTCCTTAAGTTATTATTAATATACATAGTAAGAATGACTTCATTTCAGAAATATTTTGTAGTTTACTATGTTATCTCCAGTTGAATTCGCCTTTTCAGGATTTCGGAGGAAAACAGGGCTTTAACCGAAAAACAGAAGGCAACTAAAAGGTAATAGTCATTTTTTTTTAAATCTAATTCGTTGAAGGATACGAAATAACACACAGACGAACAAACCAATACATATATTCACCCCAAAATCTCCTATTATTGAAACATAAAAAAATCATTAAAAACAGATTGATGAATACCAAACAATAACACAATCAGACTGTAAGGCAAGAAGGAATTCTAAGAAGGACAAAAGTTGAGATAACTATATACATGTAACTTTTTCATTGAAATCAATTTTCGATATATTATACATGGCACTTAGAGGTTATTCAATGCCTTTTACTTAGATATTCAATTTATTTCACGAGTGGGACAGGATTTTAGATATGTTCAGGAGTAAGAAGCACGAGTGAAGATGTAACAAAAGAATACTGTCTCACGAGACAAATGAAATACTAGTAAATTCTACATTCATATAAAGAAAAATATTGAATTTTCTGTTTATTACATTCTCTTTGATTTCCGTTTGCCTCTTTCCAGGAACAGTGGCACAAGCCTTGACATTATATTTTACCATATGCATGTGATGGAAAGAAAATTTATCCCATAAAAATTTATTCTGTATTTAATACTTGAAAAATAAAACCCAAAATTTTATGTAAAAATTGTCATAAAAGCTGGTTAAACGATAATAGGAACATTCCGAGATCTTCTTTATATGCAAGTCATCTAGAACATATTAAACAATATAATACTTTCTATTTCCTGTACAAAGAATCAAATAATACCCAGGTATATCATTTGGTACAAATTGTAAAAAAAAAAAAATAGAAGTTGCCTACAGATCTCAACAACAAATGTATGGAAAATTCGGGCATTTTCGTATAATGTTAAATGAAAAAAATTAAGTTTAAGTCATCAAATCATAAGTTCTATTGTCGATACAATGACATTGGTAGCAAATGCTTTCTGTCATCACGTCAAATGCTGACTGACGTTTACTGATTCTTAGACAATTAGTTATTTACACATTAATGTGTCCACAATATTTTTCGTGAATTTCAAAATCCTGACAGGGAGCACATGACGGGTTTGTTCGGTCAGCAGGGAATGCTCATTCCTCGTCGGTGTCTGATCCTGTCTCTGATGTATTGTAGGTCCGTGTTTGTATTAATTGTTCAAATGTGAACAGGAAACCAATAAGGTATTCTAAATATTATTTTATACTTTACTCAGCTCGGAAGACTATTTCAACAAATTGCAGGAGAAAAATATCGAACTACAAAAGTAAGTTTAACAAAATTTAAATTCAGTCATTGATAATTAGAGTTAATATTGATATGTAAATGTAATATGACTTAAAGGGAAATAAATATAATTTCAGAACTCTCATTATCAAAATGTTTTGCTATATCCCATTACTATTTCTATTCCAGAAAACGGGCGGAGGAAGTTGAAGCATTAGATAGTTTGAAACGACAACTTGATAAGTCTAAACAAGAAGCAAGCCGTCTTTGGGATGAAAAAGAACATTATAAGCGTGTTTTACAGGCTACTGATACTTCAGTTCTACAACATCAGATAGCAAAGGAACATGCAAAGGTCATAGATCTTACCAAACAAATCCAAAGTCTTTTAAAAGAAAAAGAAAACTTGCTTACAAGGTAAATAAAAACAATACTGGTAAATCAAATAGTTTTTATGTAAATGTACCTCTATTGTGAAGAAAAAATATTTAAGTGTTATCTTTTTCTTAGTATGCTGTTATAATATTACAAGCAGTTATACTGACAGTTTAGAGGTCATCTTTAAATTCCAATATTGCAAGGACATAACCAAGTTAGAAATCTTAGTTTAATTTATAATTCTTTTCAACACTATGAGTAGTTTGTGAAAAGTGCTGCGAACCCATATAGATTCCCTTATTTAATTGCTAAATTTTAATTTGTTGGACGACAGGTTGAATATTTTGCTGGTCAACTACATTAAATATAGCTATGATTAATTTATTTGCAAGATTTCGTGAGGTTCGCAGAACTTTTTATATATCTTAATGCTTTTTGAGTTTATGTGTAAAACCTTAGCAAGATACATTGAGAGTATGCCCTTGCAATCGATTTATTAGGGCCCTTATATTACTTTTTCAATGAATCTGCATATGAATACAAGACAGCATCACTTCTCTGGAGAATATACGAACAGTTTATAACTAAAATAGCAAAATAGACTTCGCATCCAAGTTAACGGCCTTTTATTTAACAGCAAATGATATTTTATTTGAGAACAAAGACATTTTTCATTGTACAAAATGTGACTTGATCAGCCTCTCACTGCGTACAAACTGCGTCATTTTTGCGAGATTACGTCAAATTGACAAGTGCATTGCGATCGATGCATCGTTTATATATTGTTGTGTGGGATTGAACAAACGACAAAACTGCATGCAATAGTAAGTTTTTATGTAGTGTATAGCTATCCATCAGTTTGAAATTATAGCAAATAATTTCAGTTTGTGGTACATGTATTTAGAAGACCTAATATTTTATGTGACGTCATAGTAAACATTTTCCGTACAAATTAGGCCCCGCCTCCTTTCTGTAACCTTAAGGGGACAGACTATAGTTTCCATTGCGCAATATTTCGCGCATCATAGTAAAATGAAGCGTGTTTACTGTTTTAATGCAACTTTTTTCGCTTAATAATTAAAATTAAATAAAATTAGGAAATTATAGGTATAAAAATGTAATTACAATTTGATATAACTGATTTTTTTAACCGATTTTGCAAACGATATGTAGGTCGACGTCGTTGCAGTGTGTTTTTGACTTTATGATAATCTGTAGCTCTTAAAAAAAGGGGTAATAAAAATATTATTAAAGAAAAAGTAATATACTAACGCTCTTGAAATTTAAAACATAGAAATTTGAGAAAATCTCCAATATTTTTATTATGTTTTCATGTGAATCCATTGTGTACGTCATATTTTGTAATACTCTATAAAAATAGTAAAATTTGCTAATTTTTAGCATTTTGAGATGCCCCCACTGGTAACAAAACGGTAGAATTTTGTGTTTCTTACATATATTGTATAATATAGTATTACTCATCAAATATAGTTTGAACAAAATGTCTATTGTAGTATTTGTATAATTTGCTTTAAAGTGCTAAAAATTGGCATTTTCCTATATAATCCTAAAGTAAATGTACCTGTATTTTGAGACAGTCCCTCAAAAATACCTTGATGGTAGATTTCCCCCAAACTTTGCATGTACATTGAAGATAATGTAAGTTATATATGATATAAAAATGAAGAGTTTCGCTCTTGTAGTTTTCACACAATAAAACTATAGTCGGTCCCCTTAACTGTGCTGCGACGGGGGATGTTTTCAAAATATTTTCCGTTGATATTTATTGTGAATTTTTTTTTACCAAAATTATAGAGTAATCTCTGTTTATCCAAATAAGAAATGTTTTATAAAAAATCCATATAAATAACTTTTTAAAAAAATATTAAGAATCATTCGAGCATGTTAACTTTTGAAAATTGACTTTGAGGATAGGCTGGAAAACAAAACTATCGTTCGCAGTTCTTTGCTTGAATTTACTATTATGCATTCGCCTAACAAAAACATTCTTACAAAAACAACACACGGGGTCATTATTCTACGGGATAATTTTTTCTACAGTCCGAAAGAAGAAAAATGACCCAAAGACATAATTTCTACAGGAAGTGGGTCATTTTTCCATATTGACCAGGGTTTAAATTTTACGTATAGAAAAATAACCCCCAGTCAGTATTCTACGGGGTCACTTTTCATCGTTACATTCGTCGATTGGTGTATGAACAGTCACTCCACTGCAAAAGAAAATCGGGCTTCCAGATTATGAAGTGAGAGTCCTTCCATTACAGTGAACGGTTCAATTGTAGGAACTTCATGTCTTTTAATCCCAAAATATTTGTAATTCATATACATGTACCTTTTTCCGATTGTAAAACTATTATATGACTGCACGAGATAGTTTAATACTAAATAATAAATATTTAATCTTAGACTAAGTGAGGTAGCGGGATCCAAGCTGACGAGTAATAACCCTGCCATTACAGACCTCAGTGACGAGAATCGTCCACTTAAACTGGCTGAGAAATTCAGTCAGTTGTACGACGATGACTGGACGGACTCCTTAGAAGAAATAACAAGTACAGGAGTAGACGAGAAGACTTCCATTAGCCTCCTACAACGTGTAGTTATGGTAAAATTCCATCCAGATTTTTTTTTTAAATAAATAATTAGTTAAAAAAAAAATACAGGGGTTTTTGATGAATTTTTCTTTTTTTTTTTTTTTTTTTGGCTTTTTTTCATTTTTTAGATTGCTTTTCACTTGTGCTCAAGATCACAAACAATACTAGTTAACGCAAAGTGCTGTTGGACTGTTTGTTGGTGTGATATTGTCAAATTGAAAGTAAGTTATCATGCTTTGTACATGGATATATTTGTTTTAAAGGAGATATTTAAACTACCATGCTTGACCCGTTTTAACGAAAATTGGTTTATTTTTTTGTTTTATTGTTTTCCCTGTGAAGTTACATTATTTGAAAATTTAAAGAAAATTTTGATGGTGAAATTGTGTTGATTTTTATTGCTAAAGCGAACAAGATGTATACACTGTATGAATATACACATCTAAAATACAAGACAATCAATCCAAACTCTATGCACCTACTGAAGGTATATATGAAAAAGAAGAGATTAAACATACCATGCAGTAGTTAATAGAGATGGTTGCGATTCTACAGTATATATATGTTTAATTTAGGAATTTTTATTATCTAAGAATGCCTTTATGAAGACCATGGTGTTGGGGTGTGTTTTTAATTTTTCCTAAAACATCAAATAATATGAAACATACAAAATAGATAACATGTTTTGGAATATATAGATTTTGACGTTTTATTCTTTTATAAGCAAATTTTCAATAACACCCGAGAATAGAATTGAAGAAATGTACAAAAAATTATTGAATAGTATTAAGATATATTGTCACATCACATTAACTTTGCCTTCAAATTAATGTCTGAAATCAAAAACATATATTCCACATCGAGTTCTAAAGAATAGACATTTCAAAGTCTATTGAACAGATGACTGGGAATATTTCATAAAAATATAAGTTGTTTGCATTTAAGGAATGAAGCTTATTTCAACTTTTGTTATACGATATAACATAACTTAAGGCAGTTTACGCTTTATAAACCGCGAAGCTGAAATAAGCTTCATTCCTTATTCCTTATTCAGAGTAGACAATGAAACAATTTTTCGTCCGGAAAAAGGCTTCAAATTCAGCATATTTTAAATGTAACGTCAAGCGGAGTAATTTAACACGTTTTTAGGCAAGTTATGTTATACAAAATGGATAAAATCGTTTACCCAATTAAATGTCGTGTTACAACTAAAATTAAATTATTCCGATTTATAATTTAGAGATGTCGAAACACTAAAAAAATAATGAATTCGTATACGTTACTCACAGGTTCCTATTTGGGAAAATGAATCACATTCAGATTTCTTAGATCTATGTCCACATTTTCAAATTAACAGTGCAGATTATATTGGACATTCATTGATCATTGAAGTAAAAAAAGGTTTTACTGAAAGTACATGCATTAATCTGATGAATTATATCTAGGTTTTGCATGAAATACAGTTACCAGATGCAACAAAGTTAGAAGTCGATCGAGCCGTCAAAAGATGTAGCCATGATGTACAAAAAGACCTCATCTGCAGAACGCAGAAGGTTAGCTGCCGTAGAAGACAATGTGTACTTAATTTATTTCGTGAATTGTAAAAAAAAAATGGTAGAAATACTCCTTCTTAACGCTCGGAGAGACTCATATTTTGATTCATAGAACGAATTTTGAAATTGAAGGAAATGTATGCTAGACGATATTCCTTCACAAGTTGTAAATGTTAATTGATATCTAAATTATTCATGGTAATACATGCAAACGAAAATTAAAACAACACTCCATGTACTTTATTATACCCGCACTTTCTAAAGAAAGTTCGGGTATATTGTTGTTACTCATGTCCGTCCGTCCGTCCGTCCGTCTGTCACACTTTTAATCCCTGAACTCCTCTTACATTTTACACAGTAGCCTAATCATCTTTTGGGAGATGGTTGGTGGTGTCATGTAGATGTGCAGTAAGGTTTCGGAATTTTGATTTTGCCCCAGGGGGTCAAATGGTGGTCGAAAAATGACGTTTTTTATGCAAAAAGTCCCGTCTTCCCTGAACTCCTTTTACATTTTACTCAGTAGCCTAATCTCCTTTTGGGGGATGATTGGTGGTGTCATGTAGATGTGCAGTAAGGTTTCGGAATTTTGATTTTGCCCCGGGGGGTCAAATGGGGGTCGAAAAATGACTTTTTTTATGCAAAAAGTCCCGTCTTCCCTGAACTCCTTCCACATTTTACTCAGCAGCCTAATCACCTTTTGGGGGATGATTGGTGGTGTCATGTAGATGTGCAGTAAGGTTTCGGAATTTTGATTTTGCCCCGGGGGGTCAAATGGGGGTCGAAAAATGATGTTTTTTATGCAAAAAGCCCCGTCTTCCCTGATCTCCTTCTACATTTTACACAGTAGCCTAATCATCTTTTGGGAGATGGTTGGTGGTGTCATGTAGATGTGCAGTAAGGTTTCGGAATTTAGATTTTGCCCCGGGGGGTCAAATGGGGGTCGAAAAATGACGTTTTTTTATGCAAAAAGCCCCGTCTTCCCTGAAATCCTCTTACATTTTACTCAGCAGCCTAATCACCTTTGTGGAGATGGTTGGTGGTGTCATGTAGATTTGCAGTTAGGTTTTGGAATTCTGATTTTGCACCTAGGGGTCAAATGGGGGTCGAAAAATGATGTTTTTTATGCAAAAAGCCCCGTCTTCCCTGATCTCCTCTTACATTTTACTCAGCAGCCTAATCATCTTTTGGGAGATGGTTAGTCGGGTCATGTAGATGTGCAGTAAGGTTTTGGAATTTTGATTTTGCCCCGGGGGGTCAAATGGGGGTCGAAAAATGACGTTTTTTATGCAAAAAGCCCCGTCTTCCCTGAACTCATCTTACATTTTACTCAACAGCCTAATCATCTTTTGGGAGATGGTTGGTAGTGTCATGTAGATGTGCAGTAAGGTTTCGATATTTTAATTTAGCCCCGGGGAGTCAAATGTGGGTCGAAAAATGATGTTTTTTTATGCAAAAAGCCCCGTCTTCCCTGAAATTCTCCTACATTTTACACAGTAGCCTAATCATCTTTTGGGAGATGGTTGTTGGTGTCATGTAGATGTACAGTAAGGTTTCGGAATTTTGATTTTGCCCCAGGGGGTCAAATAGGGGTTAAAAAATGACGTTTTTATGCAAAAAGTCCCGTCTTCCCTGAAATTCTCCTACATTTTACACAGTAGCCTAATCATCTTTTGGGAGATGGTTGGTGGTGTCATGTAGATGTGCAGTAAGTTTTCTTGATTTTGATTTTTTCCCCGGAGGGTCGAATGGGGGTGGAAAAATGACGTTTTTTGTACAAAAAGTCCTGTCTTTCCTGAAGTCCTTCTTAAAGTTACTCAGAAGCCTAATCATCTTTTAGGAAAGTTAAATATTTTGAAAATTATGTAAAACATCAACGTTAAAGAGTATAAAAACATCGCATGCTGGGAAACACCTTGAATTTTTATGAGTAATTAATGTACATGTCATATGTGAGAGTCATACAGGGATTAATCTAGGACATATTTACTACCGATAATGGGTGTTTTTCCCCTAGAGAAGATTTCCCCTCAGGATCTAATTTTCCCCTTTTGATGAGTAAAATATTCCCCTTACAATAATAACAAGAGGCCCAAGGGCCTTGAATCGCTCTTCTGATAAATGATACAATCTATCCGAAGACCCAAGATGCATCAACTGACAAAGTTTGATGATTCTTAGCCAGTTAGAGCTGAAGATATATAAATGTAACTAGAAAATACTATAAGTAGGTCATGGTGACCTACTTTTTGATTGAAATTTTCTGAGGACACAGATGCATTAATTGACAAAGATTGATGATTCTAAGCCAATAAGTACTTGAGATATCCAAAAGTGGGTCACAGTGACCTACTTATCGGTCAACATTCTTTGAAAACCCAAGGTTCATCAACTGACAAAGTCTGACAATTCTAAGCCAATAAATACCCTAGAATACTTAAATATAGCCATAAATGTCACAAGTAGGTCACCGTGACCTTTTTTCGATGATCATTCTCCTAGAACCCACGAGGCTTCACATAACAAAGTTTGATGATTCTAAACCAATAAGTACCCGAGATGCCTAAATATAGCCATAAAATGTCAAAAGTAGGTCACTGTGACCTACTTTTTGGTCGACATTCTCCGAAAACCCAAGATGTATCTACTGACAAACTTGGATGATTCTAAGCCGATCAGTACCTGAGATATTCAAAAATAGGTCACCATGACCTACTTTTTGGTCGACATGCTCCGAAAGCCTAAGATGCATCTACTGACAAAGTTTGATGATTCTAAGCCAATAAGTACCTGAGATACATAAATCTAGCCATAAAATGTTAAATATAGGTCACCGTGACCTACTTTATGATTGTCGATCTCCGAAAACCTAAGATGCATCAACTGACAAAGTTTGATGATTCTAAGCCAATAAGTACCCGAGATACTTAAATCTAGCCATAAAATGTCAAAAGTAGGTCACCGTGACCTCCTTTTTGGTTGACATTTTCTGAAGACCAAAGATGCATCAACTGACAAAATTTGATGATCATAGGTCTTATAGTATTCAAAATATGCCTTTTAAACAATTTGAAAACAAATGCCTACAAAGTTCAAAAAGTAGGTCACAGTGACCTACTTTTTAATAAATATGTCTTAAGGCCCCAAGATGCATCAACTAACAAGATTTGGTGATTCTAAACCTCTCGGTGTCTGAAATAATGGGATTAAATGATTTACGAAAGATTAGCCATAAAATTCAAAAAGTAGGTCACAATGACCTACTTTTAAGTTGATGTTGTTTGTGGACCCAAGATGCACCAACTGACGAAGTTTTATGATCATAGACCTTAAAGTGTCCAAAATATGCATCAAAATCAATTTGAAAACAAAAGCCCTTAAAATTAAAAAAGTAGGTCACCGTGACCTACTTTTGCATTAACATGATGCGAAGTCCTGAGATGCATCAACTTACAAGATTTAATGATCCTAGTCTTTATAGTAAGCAAAATATACACGTTTTTATTATTTGTAAATTTAGGTCAACTTTGAAGTGACTTTGAGACCACGCTCTTTGCCCCAGGGTGATGCCTTGAACAACTTTTTAATCTTCAACATATCCTGATCCTTGTATGTAAGTTTGGTGAAAATCTGCCTGGTGGTTCTGGAGAAGAAGATTTTTTAGCAACCAGTACTTTTGGTTTTGTTTTCCTGATTATCTCCCCTTGTTTTAGGGTCCCAACCCTTATTTTAGTAAAAATGGTAGCACTTGGGCCAAGGATACCCTGTGACAAATTTGACACTGATTGGCCAAGGGGTTCTTGAGTTATGGCCCATTTTCTAAAAAGTTAACGCACACCGCACGACGCACACCGCACAAATGGCCATAGCATTAGCTCTTTGAGCCTTTGGCTCAGAAGAGCTAAAAACCTCAAATATAATTTTTCCTTCATAAAAACTGAGAATTTAAAGTAAAATTTTTCAGTATATGAAAAAAATGATTTTACTTTGCTACTTTATGTGCTTTAAATGGTCACAAAAATGCTGAAATTCAATTACCCCCCAAGCAGGGCTGGCCCTGCACTCACTGAGTGGTTCCCACACCCCGGCTGATTTTCCCAATTTATCCAGAAAGGGTAGTTTCCCCAAAAACCTAGATTAATCCCTGTCATATCTCATCTCAATCAAAAGTTATAAGCAAATACAACATTTTTGAAAAGTAGGTTAGGCTTCAAGGTCAAGGTCGCAGAGTAAAAGTCATGATTCATTTGGAAAGATCTTATCACAGGTAATAATATACATGCATTATAATATGAATGCCCTAACTTTTCTCTTTCAAAATTATGAATTTATTACAATTTAATTTTTTTGCAAGTAGGTCAAACTTCTAGGTCATATGTAAAAAAAAAAAACCATGCCATTCTCACAGGTAAATACTAGTACATAAGTTTAATATGAATGCCTTGTCTCTTCTCATTCAGTAGATATGACCGTGATGACCAAGGTTAATTTTATTCAGACAGAAGGACAGTCTGACATACAAATGTACATATTTCTATATGAATTGCATGGGTAAAATTGGACCAGTGGTTCTAGAGAAGTTAAAAATATAAAAAGTTTTCAGACAAACAGATGGACGACATGTCACGGCAGACGTTATATGATAAGGAAACCAGAAAACCTCAAATGAGTGTTTTGAAAGGGTTACAATATGGTTGCAGTATTTGAAAAGCTGTTTTTTTCATGCAGAGATATGCATGACCAACATATTCATGTTTTATATTTTCTTTAGTAATTTGTTTGTTTGTTGTGAATACATCTCTCTTGGGAATTTTTCCCTCATATGGAGACACCACCAAATAATAATGAAGACAAGATGTGTTTGTGAAACACTGATGTCCCTGTATGGAAGCCTATGGCAAAGGTTGAAGTTTCTCAAATATATGTCAAACTCAAAGGTCAAGGTCAAAGGGTTCAAATTGTTGGTATCGGAAAAAAGTCTTGTCACAAGGAATGCACATGTGAAATAAGTAATCCTTAGTACTTCCTGTTCAAAAGTTAATTGCCAAGGTTAATTTTTTAAGTGGTTCAAACTCTACGGTCAAGGTCAAACATATTTATACCTGTTGACAGTTCACAATGAATACACATGTTAAGCATGAAAGCCCTAGCACCTACCAGGGACCAACCGAGGGGGCGACTGAGGCGAAATAGTCGCTTTTGGGCTCCAAACTTCGCCGTAATTTATCATGAAAGCGAAGTTAAAGTCGCCCTAACATTTGCCACCCCATTATTGAAAATCATGAAGAAAATCTATTAAGAAACATGGTAGAATCGTCAGTAGTTTATAAATCCTGTTTTATTATTGCTGAAATAAACGAAACAGCAGGACACTTGCACCTGTTTCGCTACTAATGACCAATGCATCGAATACTCTGTCGGAACTCCTCTAGATTTTACACTTCCGGGTATGATAAAGTCCATTGTTACAAGTTAGACTCAAAACAGCTGGTCAGCTATATCGATGTCATGCCAAAGATGTTGAAGATGATTTTAGATCTTTTTATTGCCAAATAATTAATTCATGCTGTGAATACAGACCTATTTTACTGTTAAATTGTGTAGTTATTGACTGTCTAAGAAATTACACGTCTGATATACAGAGTTCAATCAGCATGCAGTACGTAGTACATCAAAACTTTTTCAGAAAAAAAAATTAAGATTGAAAACAAATTTTGAAGAGATAATAACAAAATTATGACTATGCAATGAAGCTTCAAATTTAAAATAAAAAGATAGAATTTAAAAGTTAATTGTGCATATTAATTATTATGCAAGAAATGAAAAAAAAAAAAACTTTTACATTGTACATGTAAGTATTTATTATTTTTTTTTATTTGTTTTGTTTGTTGTTTGTTTGTTTTTTTTTTTTTTTGCTAGATATACCTTGTAATTGGAAAAAAAAATCAGATTCTTTTTCTCCTTCTTAAATAATTTTTACTAGAATTTCAATACAGAAAAAAATTATTGAAAAGTATTTTAAGTTATACACTGCAAACTGCAAAATAGTTTCATTTTTATAAAGTTTTATAATGATCAGTGGGCGTCACGCGCGCCAAGAAGTCTCCCTAAATTTCAAAACTTCTCCCTAAATTTCTCTGAGGGAGAAGTGAAGTCTCCCTAAATTTTGGGTCTAGGTTGGTCCCTGACCTACTGATCAAAATTTAGGCTAAGTTTAAAGTTGGGTATTTTTCTTGTAAAAATGTGTATTCTAGATCAAGTGATCAGAGGTAAAAATTAATGTTACCCAAATAAAAGGTCTTAATTGTCACAAGAAATAAACCTATAAAATGTGGAAGCCATTTGTATAGCCCATCCCACTTAAAACTTATGGGCAAGGTTATAATTTCTGCAACAAATAGACAGACATAATATAAACACAAGAAACAAAATATGTACATAATTAGTCAAATGGAAAAAAATATACCATTTAATTGGAATCACAAAATAGATTGTTATTTAGGGATAGGGAGTGGGTAGGGAGATAATGGACCCCCCCCCTGGAATTTCCTTTGTTATTTAAACAAGACTATATACTGAAGCAAATAAAAAATGACTTTGGACATCCTCCCCCTAACTTAAAAAACATTGACCCCACTATCATTGTTTTTATTTTGTTTATTTGTTTTCAGTTTATCGAGTTTTTTTTCTCCTGCTTGTCAGGAAATTCTAGGCATGAATTTTTTGACTGAGATGTGAACCCCCCTCCCTACTCCCGAAAAAAATTCTGGATCCGCACCAGTATTGGCAGTAACTGAATGTCACATCGACAAGGGGAGATAGCTTCACAATATGAAATTCGTCTAGTGTTGCATGCGATGATCTTTGACCCTTTCTGAACTTTAACCTAATCGTTTGGGTTTATTTTACCCCCCACTATACTTAAACTTGTACTTACCGACCTCCGTAGGTCTTGTAAACTTCATGAAATATAAATCCAATTAATACACAAAATGAATTAATCCAATGCACACCATTCTGCAGCATGCTATAATGCTATTCCATTCGGAAAACCTTCGTGCCGTCGATTCCGTCACCTTATCAGATGAAGTGGGAATCGGCCGAGGTGTACCGAATGGAGTTTAATCTAAAAATATGATAATGGGTGACGCAACGTGATGTGATGTAGAATTTACATGTCAAGAACAAATTTTAAATTAATTCATAACAAACAATGTTTTAACAAAACTGTTCCATCTGGCCTATTCCAAAAAGTATGTACTGTGTGATTGTGGTGTCGGGGGGGGGGATTAGTAAATTTAAAAAGGTCCTAAATTATGAGCAAAACATTTATCAAAATCTAATTTACATCATTGATAGAATTCAAACTGGTATATAATGAATTAAGCATGTAAAATAAATATAAGAGGTTCTGAGTTATAGGTCACAGGGATAATTTCATACTCAGTTTGATGAATACATGTAAATTACAGGCACGTAGCAACCGGGGGCTGCCCCCCTTTTTTTCCCAACATTACCTGTACAATAAGAAAATGTCCATTGAAAAGATGGTTGCCCCCCCCCCCCCACTTTTTACCACAGTATATACATAGCAAGGAAATATGGGAAAAAAATTGGAAGTGAAAGTAATTTTGCCTTGAAAAAAAGTTGGCCACTACCCACCCCCCCCCCCCCCCCCCCCCCCATTTTATTTTTTTTTTCCTTGTTAATTTTTTTAGTTTATTAAAAAAAATTTTCTCAGTTTGCCCCCCCCCCCCCCACTTTCAAAAACGATGCTACGTGCCTGAATTATATAGAATTATTTTGACTTTTTCCTTGGTAAGCCGCCCGTAGGATTGTGTATTTAGAGACAAACACCTTAGTGCGGGTATTACTGTCTCATGACAGCATCTAGTATTAATTGAACGTTTATTGAATTTGAAATTCTTTTATAGTTATATGTATATGCCTTTTGGTTGGTTGGCAAGGCAACTGTCATATAGAATCAATTTATTAAACATAATTTTTATCTAAGTTTTATGTTCAAGTCTGATCTTATCTATCCCATCAAGTTTGATTTTTTTAGATTTAGTCAAATACATGGAAAGTGCCCCTCCAAAGAAAGTTTCTTTTTAAATTCTTAAATATTTTGAATTTACAGAGATTTCGCCACACTTTGGCTGATATGCTACGAGTCACCACAAATGAAAAAGCTTACAGTCAAATGGCACCAGTAAATTATCAATCAGAACAGTTGGAATCAAATAAGAAGGAAAGTAAGGGTGAACAAAAGAAGCCTAAGGTCAAGAGAGATTTTAACATTCCGGTAGAACACAATGTCTTGAAACCCAAATTAAAGAGATCTTTTTCCACTGCATGTATTGTGGTAGATGGTAACAACACGGACAGTAAAGATGTGATACCAGGGAAAGAAAAGCAAACTGCACCCAGCCGTCACGGAAAATACAGAAATAGATTAGCTGATTCTGCACGAGGAGACTTTTTAAGACCCCGTTACGAAAATTATGTTCGAGAGGGTTTCTTGCTTGGCAAAGATAGCATTGAAAAATTGTTCTTGGAGCCCAGAGACGTGATAGATCGATTCCCCAAGACAGCTCAGTTTGCTGACCGCTGTATAGAATTATGTTGGTTGATGCAGTCCACACAGCCGCCTGTACATCTTAGTGTCGATATTCCCGAGAGCAGAGAACTTAAACATGAAACATTCAAAGCATATACGAAATCAGGACACTGTATTGACTATGTAGTGTGGCCTGCGATGTACCTACACAAAGAGGGACCATTGTTGTCCAAAGGCGTCGCTCAACCATTGTGAAATACTGAAATACTCTAAACTGGTTTTTTGTTTATCTAACATTTACCATTATTGATATTTTTCTCCTATGCATATCATTTGTTTTATGCGCCATGTGAGTCTAATATTTGAACACTTATAATTTTAAACAAAATGCCTATATATAAACCACATACAATTGCTTTGTATTGAAGCTTTAAAAGTTTATAAATGGCGTTCGGTAAAGAATTTTATTTACATCACACTTATTTTTACATATAATACTATTAAATACTGATGTTTATTTATTGATATTTCATGTATGCATAATAAATTGTGTATTAAAAATATCTGTATAATTGTAGTCATATTTACATTTTTGCCAAAGCCTGTTTTTCAGAATATCGTCATTTTGAACGAATCCTTCCTGCACATACTGTGGGTCAAGCTTAAGTTTCCAACAAATGGTCTTTAGCTATATTAAAAATTCTCATCTGAAATCAAATGATTTAATAATGGTGGCGTAAACTTATCTTAAAAATAATTATGATAATTCTTATGTAAATTGCCTATGTATATTTTGTATATGTCAGCAGCCCAGCTTTTGGATAGCCAATGAGAAATTTCGAACAAGGGAACAGATTTTTCTTATATATTCGAAGAATAAATTTGGTTATTGATACAAATGCTGAATGCTTTTATTTATCGATGTTAAGTAAATCTATTTAGCAAATATATTTATCAAAACCTACATTTTCCTTATAAACACAATATAAGTCATTTCTACGTAATAATGTGTTCGGAGCTTTGAGGTATTTTCTTTATTTTGCAAATTATGATACCCGAAGATGAGCAGTAGCTCTTGCCAGATTTAGTAAGACTACGACGAGGGTATAAATGGGTGAGATTAATTTTTATTGTATAATTTGATATTAAATTCTTATAATTGCCTTTGTAAAAAACAATTTAACTTAAAAGTCAATATTAATCTTAATAGTAGTTTTTAGGATATGTAGTTTCCAAAAATGTACTTCAAGCAAAAATTATAAATTTTAAAATCACATATTTGCAAAGCTTTAATTGATATAATAGTTAGGGTTTTCAACTTCAGACTTAGCCGTATAGGTGGATCGTATCCATAGAATCATGTAGTAGTCATGTATTTCATAGTTATAAAAATGACAACTTTTAAGCGTCATTTCTTATTTGAGAAACATATCAATTAAACTAGCTATCCTCATACTCACTGATGTTTGTTAAAAATTCATTTCTATTTTAATTACCGTGTCCTTGTGGGTTGTTTTTCCATTTTTAACCTGTAATCTATTGAAATTTATAAACTGTATTTAAAGCTCTTCATTTATTTTATTTTTCTTTAAACCAACCATCACAATCGAGAAAAGATTATGACACGTCATTATATGGACATTGACTCTCATTTACTTCTGAATCACCTGAATGTTAACGGCAAATTCATTAGGACCTCTCTTTTGTATTTTGCCAGCATACATGTGGTTTCAGGGTGACTGTGAGGTTTATTTTTATATCAATCACATAAGAAAAGCCTTGAAAGAGAAATTATTTCTTTAAATTTAGAGTAGAGTTGTTTACAAGCGATAAACTTTATGCAAATTCACTTTTTTTATATAAATGTATAGCCAATGCATTTAATAATATTTACTTTTAATTTTAACTTTCTCTTTTTAAAAAATGATATTTATTACAGTGCACTTAACAACTTTGAATTATTTGTAAGAAAATGATCTCGTTTTTTTTTTTTTATTTTTTGCTGTTTTTGAGGTCAATACGATGATTTATAATTAGCCATGAGAGGAGAAAATATTTACCGATCCCGAAGAGCGAGATTAATATAATTATTGTACTTCGAAGGTGGCTATATCATCGTATGGACTGAAAAACATATAATTGTTTAATTATTAGCTGTTAGTTTTAGCAATTAGTGTAAAAATCCCTTCGTTTTATATAATATAGAATTAATGTGCTATATTTATTAATTGATAACAGGATATCAACAGCATACAAAGAGTAAATGCAGAATGAATCTATCCCATTTATCCCCTTTCTTGTTATGAAAGCAAATCAAATTGCTCTGACCTAAAACTAGTCTTTCATTTTTTATAAAATTATCATTCAAATCAATTAAATATCGTAATTTATCTTGATTAAAGGTATATTTTATCATCTTATTTTGTGTTTATGTTAATAAATATTAAGACAAATCTTAGATTAATGATCTAAGTTTAAGTATAATTAAAAATTGACCTCGTTTTCATTCGTAATGTGGATATCACAGCGGTTGTTGTAGCTACAAAATTTCTAAAATGCGCAACGAGAATACATAAAATGTTATTCACTTGGGGCTTTTAAATGTAACCAAATATACGCTTTAAACGATTTTGTTTTCAGATAGAAATATGATTGCCGATGTTGCCAACCTTCCGTGTCAAGTGCATCTTTTCCTAATTATAATGTAGAACAAACGTACTAAAATGTCTCGTGAAGTCGTGAAATATAATATCTACAATTGGTATAAATGAGATCTGTTTTGGTTGAGAGTGGTGTATTTTTGTTCCACTGAGAATAATTGAGCTTTTTTCACAATAGTATACCGTGTTTATATTGTATTTAAAAGCTTTTGATACAATTATCAAAAATAATTTATGTCTTTTTTTTATATTTTGACTTTACATTTCATACAATCCTATGAAGTAGAAGTCTTGTTCTAATGTTTTTGTATTTGGTTTATGTCATCGGATTTGATGAAATTTTTCATTAATAGAGCTGTACTTCTATGATGTTAGTAGTATAAGGATTCTGGCCGGGGCGGATATGTCGTCATAACCGGAAGTGGTTTGACTGGAAGTGGCTTAACCGGAAGGCGTCTAGCCGGCCGGGTCAACTGAGTGCAGTCCTAACCTTAGCCCTCTAACCCTGACCCTAACCCTAATCCCTTAACCCTAGGCCCCTAACCCTAACCCCCTAACCCTAACTAACCCTAACCCCCCAGCCCCTAACCCAAATTCCCCTTAAACCTTAACTCTAACCCCCTATCCCCTAACCTAACCTATTCCGTTAAATACGGGGTGTTTAAACTGTGTTTACATTGGTACTTTGGTAGTACGATTTTTTTGGCAGCGACTCAAAAAAAAAGAATGTCATTATGACGTCACGCATTCATTCACAGTCTAGACAGCCTAGCCTAACCAGTTCAAACTGGGTTTTTTACTGAAAGACAATAACAAACCTGGATTTTTTACTGAAAAAAAAGACAAGAATACTAACACACAATACTAGAACAAGGTTATTTTTTATTCACAATGAAAAAATACAATTACATTTTCTGTTTCTTCTTCTGGGCCTTATCGGTGGTCAGGGGTAGTTTCCTCTTGGTTTCCTGAGGTTTTTTTTCTTCAGTTTTTTTTATGTCTTTTACCAATTGGTGATCCTCCTCTGTACACTGATTAGCCCAATGCCCAAATTTCCCGCATTTGTAGCACGAATCCTGTTTTTTTCTGGGGCAATCTGGGGCCCAATGCCCTAACTCTTTGCAGAAGTAACATGGGTCTGTCTGTCTTGTTTTCTTAGTCTCTCCTGATCCCCCTTGTCCCTCTTTTTTCTGGTAAGTGCTCCTCCTCCTCCTTTCATTTTGTTTTGCATGTAAGTTTTCAGATGATTCAATTGGTTTTCAGCACCACTCATCTTGTTGTTCATATCATTCAGCTTGTTATCAAGACTAGACAGCATGTTAACAATTCCATCCAGAGTTGTAGTTAAAATATTCATATCTTCTTTATTCATGTATTCTTGAAAATTAAAGGGGGCTGCTACATATTCTTCAGGTGTCACAAAACTAGGGTTGTGTGGGGTATTCATCATTGCTTCTGCCATAATATTTTTCACGTCTGTCAAGTTTGAAACGCCAACCAAGACTGATCTTTAAATTTTACAGTTTTGCTTTATATACCTGGTGGATTTGTAATAACCCTGTGCAAAAAATATACTTTTTACCTACGTTTTTTATACCTGATACATTATCTGTAATGGACCGTGTGCAAAAAATTAGGGGCCCGTGTGCACCTTTGAGCTACCTTTTCTATACCTGTTGCATCACCTGTAAGGGGGTCGTGTGCAAAAGAAATATACGTTTTACTTACGTTTTATACGAGGGTATAAAAAAAAAAGTAAAAAGAAATTATTTTTTTTTTACTGTGGCAGGACATAGATGCAATGAAAAGGAAAAAAAAGTATGTATTCAATACAAT